ACCTATACCTATAATGGAATATTGTTAATTCCTGGCAAAATATGAACACATTTGAAAGCAAGCAAGTTTAACTTATGAAATTGTGTAACTAGTTAATTTTTGATAGATTAGCCCAATGTAGTGATTTCAACCAAATTTTTCATTTTAAGTGCGAAAACTTGATTTCTATGGTCTGGTTGGTGTTTTTTCATGCATGCAAATTTTTTTAGAGAACATTTCGTCCCTTTAGCTTCCTGTTATGCACAGTTTTAAGAGCTTAATGTTTCCTGCCTCCACTTAGAATAAGAGAACATTGCACATTTTTGCTGAATGTCAATGAGACAGTTACATTACAGAAATGGTGCCTGAGTGACTCTGAAACTGTGACTAGACATCAGCAGAATTCCATCCTATACTGGAGAATAGCTTAATTAATTCAATATGCCCAAAATAAAATGCCCCCCCCAACCCAAAGCAAAGGGGAGGGCCCCAACCACAAGTAAACCATTGAGTGAAACAGCTGTCTATTATGTAAAAAAAAATGTCTAGCACAGCTCCATAAATATATTTAGGCCGTTTATATAGGTCAACTAATGTGGGTTTTGTCTCATCAGGCAGGAGATGAAGCAGCCTCAGTGTCTCCCTAAGCACCTTCAGCATTTTGCTAACGAAGTTACAGTACATAGGAATATTTTAATCTGACAGAAAGAACAACAATAGATCTGACTGCAGGGCTGATAATCTTCTTATCACACCCTGTGAAACCTAGCTCTAATATTTGACTGAGCCTCCATTACTTGGCAACCCATTCTAAAAAGGCCAACAATGGAGAGAGAGAGAATGAAGTGGAGTGTGCAAGTACCTCCATATCTACATAAAAGAGATTAGAGGCGACAGCATTCCATTTTACAGCTCAATCATATTGTGTTAGCATGCGCTTATCCGAGCGCGGACGAAATTGAAAGAGAAATAAAAAAGAGTCAGGCAGATAGGAACCAGAAAAGCGAGGCATGAGCAATTTCAAGGATATAAAAGGATGCTAATGGCGGGGCCCTGTCATTCTTAAAAAGGGCTATTAGGGCACCATCATCTGTTCTTGTGCCCTTACGCTCCTCTAACTAAAGTCAAACATTTCTTAATACCATTGTGCTCTTTTTCTTCTTCAGATAAGACATGGTCATGTTTCATAACAACACACTTCCCATTTATTTGATTTATTAACGTGAGTAGACTAATTCTATTTGCTGATAAAGCCTTTCCAGACATATTTTTCTTTCAATATTTCCTTCTGTAGAACTGTACACTTTTTGTTCAGAAAAAGCAGCTGTTAGAGAATATTCCCAATAATTCAGAAGTCCTAATGATTTTATGATAGCATATGAATTTAATATAATTTAAAGCAAATTTTAGGAGATGACCTCCACAGAGAACGGTGTAGATGGAGGGATCAAATGCGTACAGTACATTACTTTCTGTAGATAACTTCAAGAAATAATCCTCTTTATAATGGCTGAAAAAATGTTATTTTCTTCCACAATAAAGTTGTCTTTCAAAATATAGAGGTTTCCATTGAATTACAATGCATTACAGCTTAGTCTTTTATTGGTTCTAATACAACTGAAATGAAAGGGCCTTTAATCATGTTACACCTGAAGAAATTACTGCAATAAAGGAAGATCTGGTGTAGCCCACATAATGGGCCAAATTCACATATAATGCCACTGCATTCAATGGACTGCCACCAAAGGTTTATTTGGCTGACTATGGCTATATAACAATTCATCCCTTTGTTGCTCTTTGTTCCTTTTATGACTTGTCCCTTTTCCCAGTTCCACTGTATCACTGCCTAGAATAACATGCGCTGGCATAGGCAACAGCAGGGTAGCACCACTGCAGGCTTCTCTACCGTTGTTTTGTGCCAATGCCAGTCATTAGTTAAGCTCTGGCAGCCCAAGTTCAGCAGCACTCCATCATTCAAAACCAAACTAAAAACCTTCTGATCATGCTCATCACATTTGCCCTTTAGCATGTCAAGCTCTTCCTCATTTTGATTTTTGTGATCTAAAGCAACAAGCACAGATTTTATCACTGACCTCGGCTTATCAGAAGGCTTAGGAAAGGATTGCCTTTGTTTACTATTTAGGTTATTTTTTTTAACCCAAATGGGGTCAAGCAAGTAACCTTAGATAGTGCAGCTTTACCACGGCAGGTGTGTTTTTGACTTTGTCTCGTAAGACAGGGCTGGCCTACTATATAGACATTTTCCTCCGCTAGCTCAGATTGTGGGTCTTAAATTTATAATGCCATCTTACAGTGTCCAATAGCTTTTCATGCTAACTACAGGCATTGAATTGTTTTTAAAAGATTGTTTTTAAAAGATTGCTCAGTTTCTCCACTCCCCCCACACCCCACACTCCAAAAGAAAGCTATGTAACATATTCACAAATCAAACTGATAAAAGGTCCTGGGGCAATCATTGTGGTGTGTGACTGACTTCTAGCTCCAGTGCTCTATTTCAGTTAGACTGATGTAGGTATCTTCTGAAGATGAAGCTCAAACTCACCTATTTAACTAGTTTTGACTTAATTTGGGGTGCTTGATTAGCAACCAGTGTAAGACAAAGTAGCTAGTATAATACAGAGTGATGTTTAAATTAGTTTACAATTTGCTTGGGCTCATCTAGAACTGCTCTGAACAAAGCCATTCAGAAATGTCAGCTGTGTTCCTAACCACTGTAACAAATTGTTGCCTGAACGCTGCACACCTAATGACTTCAAATTAGCTTCACTGCGATATTGCCTGACAGTTCGTTACGACTGTTAGCAACATAGCTGGCGTATCATGACCAATAAATTGGTTTCAGTGTGGGCTGGGAAAGGGACTTCCATCAATTTGATTAAAGAAATTA